CTTAGTAGGGTTGTGAGTGATTCTAATTCTTTAACGTGTAATTTGGAGGACTAAATTAGGTGAGAGATTTGTAATACATATTTGGTGCCTAGCTGGGTATAAAAGAAAATAATAATAATAATAAAATCTACACATAATTAATTAAAAAATAAAAAAAAAAAAAGAATAGTTGGAAGCAAAAGAAGGGGAAGAAGAAAGAGAAGAGAGCGCAATAGACCGAACCGAGGGGTCTATGCACGACGAACTTGTCGGAGAAGAAGTTCGTGCGCGTGACGGAGGAAGGATTTATGTGCAACTAGAGAGGAAGCATACATTGGCCATGGTTCATAGTGGAGGAGAGAAAAAGCAGTCGCAAGAAAGAAAAGAGAGAAAAAAGAAGAAAAAAAAAGAAAAAAAAACATGGCGACCATATTTGTTGTTGGTACGTCGTACGCGGCGACGCACATTGATTCCAGCATCGACACGTAATATTTTTCAGTGACACTGGCGACTGGGACTGCATATCCCAAGGTAAAATTCGTTACTTGTTTTGTGTTATGTAGTTTTTGAAATTATTCATAAATTAATGTGTGTTTTCTATTATAAATGAAAAAAATTATTCAAATGGCATCCGAATTTTTGAGAGGAAATCATATACCCAACTAGAAAGGATTTTCAAAACTTTTATGATCACGTTGTAAATAAAAATTATGTATATTTTGTATGGAAACATAAATTATATATTTATGTAAATGTGTATATATATATTGTAACAAACAGTGTACAAAATATTTAAAAAGAAAAAATATATATATATATATCTATGAGTATGTACACATGGGTCATGAATGAACCCCACAAGAATGGAGGAGTACGTCACATACACTCTGCATCCACTAAAATCATAAAAGACCCAACTGTAAAAGAACAGTAGAAGAAAAAGAGAGAAATTTTCAGAAAAGAGAGAATCAGCAAACAGAAAATAACAGAGCAAACTAACCACTGCCAAGTGTGCAAACCGGTTAGAAAATGTTGTCAGTGTGAGGAACGTTCCGAAAGAAACACCTGGCACTCATCAAGCAGGTTGGAGGGTACTGATGGGGTTCTAGTTGTGATGAATGGCTGGGAATAGGGAGAGAACCCAACAACTGTGATTGAATGCCTTCAGTTTAAAAGGGAGGGAGTAATGGGAAGAAAAAGGAGTAAAAAAAGAGAGGGTGTGAAGTAGGAGAGGAACGAGCAAAGCAAAGGAGGGGAAACAGAGGAGGATAGCGACAGAATGGATGCTCATCGAGGTAAGACAAATTTAGATTTCAAATATTGAATTTGAATTAATATATGAAATTCCTGATCTCGGTTATGAAAGAGAGCGAGAAGAAAGGGAGAGGATTGGAGGAAATGGCGAACAACTAGTTGCGGGGAGGGAAATTGGGAGACAGAGGGCGGTAGCCGAAAGGAAAAAAAATAAGACCCAACAACTCTGAAATCCAAGGGGCGACGGGGAATTGGAGGGGGGGCAGAGGGATACCAAAAGGGAGAGTGTGACCTGTAACAACATGAGAAGGAAACCAGAAATTGGGCGAGGCTAGCGTGTAAAATGGGAATGGATAGCGATGTCAAACCATAAAAGATATGTCTACCGAAGGGTTCACATATTATGGTTGAAAACCATAATACAGTCAAACCATGGCCGAGACTGCATGGCATCTACTCATTCTCTTTTGTGTAAATTTTTATATTGTTGGTGACAAAAATCTGCACCCATTGGAAGTTAAAATAAAAGTGGGGGAGGGACCCGATAAGGGTCGTAGCAATGTACATTACATTGCGATTTGGTGCGACGCACGGTGCTGACATGTAGCTGCTGCTGTTGTGCAACGTAGGTTACAATTTTGTTTTCCCCATAAGGTTAAAATTTACATATTAATATTAGCATTAAGTTGAGATTATAGTTTTGGAGACTGAGTCATTGAGTGTCTGTTGGGAGAAAAATTAAGATAGAATGCAGGGAAACCAATGGGTCTTGGGTTAACTTCATCTGTATAGCTTCGGGCATGTTTTGTAGGCATTCCACGAAAAAAGGTGAATGTCATTGTGATAGACTCAATAAATGAGTCGAAGGGCTGATGCCCGGGTCATACTGTTGGCAATAAATATGTCATTAGACTGGTATGTTTTTGGTGCATATTGTTGGCATGTTTTTAATTATTTGGTGCTCCGGCGAGAGCAAATTTGGAAAAATAGTGGCCCAGTCGGAACGAATTATGGGGTAGAAGCCCCAAGAGTGTAGTATTTTTGAAATTCTGTGTGTGATTGATTAGTGAAATTATAAGATTATGTTGAGCATTTATAACTGAAAAGGGGTCCTTCTGGATCGTTGCACGAGTCTCTGCAAATGTATAATTTATAATTGGTTCATATTTGTTGGCACGCTCTTGAGAAAAGCAAAGCTGGAAATAATGCTGGGCCCTTCTACACAAGGTCGAGGCGTTGAAGGCCCAAAGAACTCTTAAGTAATGCTGGCTGCATATATGGTGTGTGTGGGTATGCATCTCTACACTTTGGAGAGGGGAATCCATTAACAAGGTTGATCCATTCCATGAGTGAGTCGAGGGATTAAGATCCCAATGTTCTCTATTTTATTTTTCTTTCTTTCTTCTCTTTACATGTGAACTCGCATGACACATTCGGAGTACATAATGTAATTGGTATGGGAGTCGTTTCACTGGAGAATGCTGGAAGACTTTGTATAAGGGGAAGTGGCCTGGAGGTAGAGGGGAAGTCAAAGGGATAATAACAGGGCAATAGGACATTAAAATGATGCCTAATTGTGTATAATTTTGGGAGATGCAGAGGGATAGGAATGGGAAGTATTAGTGACAGTATAGTTACCGAATTGAAGCAATATATGAAACAAAAAGGGGCTTAAGGGGAAATATGTTACGGGAGTCAGGTGGAATGAGATAGAAACCGCCAGTACAACAATAAAAAGGGGTAGAGGGACTTCGGATCTAGGAATCGTATTGCATTTAACACCTTGTTTGAGCATCTAAATCTAACCTTACCCGGGCATTGTCGGCTCATTATTATGTTATTTTTAGATACGGTGAAATTTGGAACATTGAACAGGAGGAAGTATCACTAGTAGACGAAAAAAATTTTATTAATTTTTATTTTAAAATTGTAAATTAATTTAGATATTTTAATTATTTATAAATAAATAATTATTCAGTCATAAAAAATGTGTATTAAAGTACAGTTTCACTGCATATTTAATATTTTTTGGTTCCATTAGTTGAAAATATTATGCAAACCTTCATACCAATCGATATTTGAGTTCGGAAAATTACACGATCAAATAAATATCCATCAATAAATAGTGTGAGTCAAATTTGAAGTTTGAAATAGCTAGTTCATCTTGTAACTAGTGCATATTTAGATGAGTATTTACCCCATATTAGTATTATAACACGATCTACTAAGCTTCAATGTTACCCAATTATCTATTTCAAATATAAGAAAGTTAAATAATTATGTATCCTATTGGTCACTACTAATCTAAATTCCAATAACTTTGCTTGAATATACTATATTAATACGAGAAAATACATTGTTAAAATTAGAATAAATATTAAGCTCCAGATTATGAAATCTTTAATTAACTATTTTATGAGAAGAACAAAAAAAAAAAAGGAAGAGGATTTGTTGTGAACAGTTAAAGGGGCTGGATTTGGTGGAGTATCATGGAACTCATTTAGTTGCCATCTCATATAAAGTTGTGAAAATAAACCTTCACTTTGAAGTTTGAACTTTGAACTTTGAACTTCTTTCTTTTCCCATTTCAGTAATGGTCTTGATTTGGATAATTCTTGCTTTAGACTGGTCTTCACTTCAAAATTCTCAGCCTAATCAACACGAAACAAGAATGGGAAAAAGTTTGAGGAGAGAGCTTCTTTTAATCTATGAGAACGAAGACCATCTTTTTTTCGTTTTGTTTCTCTTTTTCTCCTTTTCCACTTGTTTAATTTATTGGGTTGAGCCTCTCTTTCTTCCACGTATATATATATATATATATAATACTGCTTATATATACATATATGTATATCTATATACACATGCATGCATGTTTATCACAACTTCAAATGGAGCAAAGAACAAAGCAGTAGTACTCTAAACCCCACCCAAGAATCCAGAGAAAAAGACCAACACAAGATACAATCACCTTTCTTTACGACACTGTATTGGTGGCATCCCCCTTTAATTAGTTTGGGGAATTCATGCGCTCTGTCCTTTTCTTTTTCTCTCCAAATAACAGCGTATGCAAATGAACATGAGAATTATATGAAACGAAATCTCAGTTTATTGATTAAGATTTTGGAGTTTATTCTTTTCTTGTGTGTAATACAAGTTATATGCATGTAAATGTCTACATGCATATATATTGTATTTATAATTCGAAGCTCGTATGGGAAATCTTGACCAAACCAGACCAGATAGGCTTGTGGAATAGTCTTGTCCTATTTTAGTCTGAACTTAAGAGAATTCAAAATATTGGATCTAAATCAAATAAATTAAAAACTTTATTTTAAAAATAGAAATATAAAAAATCCAAAATTTTTATATTAGTAATGGATGAATTATTATTATTATTTAATTAATTTCATAAACAAATAATTATATTTATGAATTTATTATTTATTTTAACTTTTGTTTATTTTATTAATTTTTTTAAATATAAAAATTATTTGAAAAGAAAAATCAATCTAATTTGATCCGAGATAGATTCATTTTAATCTTATCTGAACCAAATAGTTTTTTGTCCATTTGCAGTCCGTATAGAATGCTTTTTCAATTTTGTTTTATTTTATTTTAAACTGATAAATATCTCGTTATAAATTATAAGTAGAGTTCGAGCCAATTAAGTCAAGAGGAGAGACCCAACAATTTTTTTTTCAATCAAAGGAAACCAAGCACTAAAGAATCCTACAATTCATGAAACAGGCTAAAACAACATCGTTTTTAGAAACTCCAAAACGGCGCCGTTTTAAGTAAAGAAAAAAAAAACCTGAGGCGTGTTTGCCTCTGGTCGGGAAAGATGAATAGGCAGAGGCGTGTATGCCTCTGCCACCGATCGAAAAAGAAGAAGATGAGACTTGCACACCGAGAAAGAAGGATCGTGTAGGACTCCTTTTGCTCCTCCCTATAAAATGCGAAGAGAGGAAAGGAGATCAGTGTAGGAAGAGAGAGAGAGAGAGAGAGAGAGAGAGAGAGAGAGGAAGATAGAAAGAGAGGGGATGCGGTTACCATCAATCGGCAGCCGAGAGAGGAAAGAAAAAAGAAAAAGAAAAATGAGGGGGAGAACCCGGTGCTGCGCAGGAGAAGAAGATGATTTACACGGCAGCTCGACGTGCGTTTTGCTGTTCTGTGACTCCCTCCGATGCAATTCCACCTTATCTAAGGCTGCAAAGTGCTCTGCGGTGAATTTCGGCCAATCCGTAGCGGTGAGTGGTGGCGATCGGCGACGACATATGGTGGTCCAGTGGCGGCACGTGTGGAGGCGCGCGGACTTCTAGTGGTTGCGCACAGTGAGTCCTAGGAACCCGATTCAGGTAGGTGAGTTCAAAAACCCTAAGGGCTTACTGTTTAAGATTTAGAGTTAATTAATCTTATTTAATTTTAATGCAATAAATTATTTATCCAATTTAGAATTAGGAATAAGTTTATATACGGGTGTTTGAAATTATGGGATAATCAATTCACTACTAACGCGATACAGATATCACTGTAACATGTTGATCTTGTACATCGGAGATAATTTCACGAACGAGATTTAGACGAAAATCAGGTAAGTGCGTAAGCACTTATAAATGTAATTTAATTTTTTTAAGATATTAAAATTATGACGCTTAATAATTGATAATTAGACGCATGATTCCAATAAAATTTTACTATTAATTATTATGTTCTTATTTATGTTTATTATTGAAATTGCTGATAAATTATTTTGCTATGTTTTGTAACTGAATTTATATATGTACTAGTTGTTATGTAATTAGGATCATATTAAGGATATATAGAAAAGTCTAAGGTGATAAATAATTATAGTATGTGTGTTATAGGTATAAAATATATTAAATAATAAAATTAAAAAATTTATTAGTGAGTTGAAATAAATAGATAAACATTAAAAGATTTAAAAATTCCATTTAATCGGTATCACTGAGGGGGGGGTGTATGTGTAACCTTTTAGCGTGTGATTGTGGTGAACCTTATCCATGGATATAGTTTTAACCAGACTTGGCGAAACAATAAGAACTGTGAAACTGTATACTGTGTACTACAATCTGTGACCTGTTAACTGAATTAGGACGTATTCACATTATGGAAGGGATCCTTACTATTCTCATTGATATCGATAAAAATAGTATCGCGCGGTGATACTATTTTTAATAAAATATAAACTGATATAAATGAGTAGGAAGTCATAAGTAGAATTTACAATACTGAATTAATATCTACTGAACTGCTTATTATTTAAATTGTAATATTGAATATTGAATTATACTATTTATTGAACTGTTTATGCCCTAAATTATAATACTGAAATAAGAAATTCTGAATGTTTACTGAATAAACAGATTTAGAAGATTTGGTGATTAAATTAGAGTATAGATACCACGTGTTTCCCGAATTAAAGAGAAAAGTATTTTAAACTATCTCCGTCGATAGTTTTATATTTTTTACCAATTTGGACATATACCTTATTATTTATTGGTACTTACATGTTTACTGAATATATTAAACTCATCTTATTTATTATTTATTTTTTTCATATTATGATATTTAGAACTCCACTTCTTAACATTAAAAAATTTGCTAGAAGATCGTTTAATTTTTATTTTAATTCAAAAAACGCTTAATGTTAGTTATTTTATTTTTAGTTAGTATTTATTTTAAAGTTTAAACTTGTCTCATGGATATTAGATATTTTGATATAAATATGTAAGAAATATATTTTTTATTATTTTAAAATTTGTTGTACAAAGTATTCCTATAAATTATTTTATCATTACATTGTGGGCATCCGATCAGAACTCTGGATGAGAGTTCAGACTGTTACAGTTCGTGCTAGCTAAAAAACTTAAATAACATTATTATTAAAATCAATAAATCATAGTATTCAATAGTACTTATAGATATTATGTAAAAATAAATTTAAAAATATTGTTACCGATTCATATTTTAATAAAAAATTAAAATTAATGTGATAAATATATATAATGGTTATTTATTCGAATTGTTTAAATATAAAAAAAGAATTTAAACTTTTACTTAGCTACAAATTGTCCATTATATCACACACTTCTTCACACATCTTATAAATCTTTCATCGAAAAGATATGATAACAAAAAATTATGGTATAATATTTTAGCCACATATAATTTATGTTTTAAAACCAAAAATTTTAATGTGATATTTCTAATTTGTACTATGGGCTGTATGTTCAAGTGTTTCACTTATTTAATGCACTATAATTGTTAATACAATTCAAATAAAATAATTTCTATACATTCTTTAATCACCATATAACTAATTAAATATTTGAATAAAATTA